ATAACAATAATAATAATAGCAACAATAAAAATAATAATACCTATATCAAAAATAATAATAATAAGAATAATAATAGTAATGATAACAATAATAATAATAATAAAAATAACAATAATAATATTAACAGAAACAAAAATAATAATAAAACACAATAACAACAATAATAACTATGACAATAATAATAACAGTAACATTAATAATAATAATAAAGATAACTGTGATGATAATACTAACATTGAAAATTATAATAACAACAATAATAATAATAACTATAACAGTAACAATAATAATAAGAATATTAGAAACAATAACAATAATAATAACAATAACAATAAAGATAATAATAATATAAACAATGAAAACAATAATAACAATACAGTAACAATAACCATAACAATAATAATAATAATAATATTAATAATAATAATAATAACAATAATAATATCAATAAAAACAATAATAATAATAACAATAACAATAATTATAAAATTAACATTAACATTAATAATAATAGTAACAATAACAATAATAATAATAATAACAATAAAAATAAAAATAATAATAACAATAACAATAATCATAAAAATAACTATAATAATAATAGTGATAATAAGAATAATAATAATTATAATAATATCAATAAAACAATAATAATAATAACTATAATGATAATAATAAAAATAACAAAAATTAAAATAATATCAATAACAATAATGATAACAGTAATATTAGTCATAACAATAATAATAACAATAACAATAATAATAATGGTAATAAAAGCAATAATAATAATAATAACTATAACAATAATAATATCAATAACAATAATAATGACAATAACAGTCTGAGTTATAATAAGAATAAGAATATCAATAATAATAACAATCACTAAAATAATAATAATAACATTAACAATAACATTAAAAATAATTATAACAATAAAAATAATAAAATAATTACAATAACAATAATGATAATAATAATAACAATAACAATACTAATAATAATAACAATAACAATTATAATAATAATAACAATAGCAATAATATTTACAATTACAATTACAATCATAGAAATAACAACAATAACAATAATAATAACAATAACAATAATAATAATAATTACAATAACATTAATAATTACAATACTAATGACAATAACAATAATAATAATAATAACTATAAAAATAATAATACCTATAACAATAAAAATAATAATAACAATAATAATAATTATAATAGTAAAAGCAATAAGAATAATAACAATAACAACAATAAAAATAATATCAATAACAGTAATAATAACAATAACAATAACAACAATAATAATAAAAATAACAATATTAATAATAAGAACAATAACAAAGATAATAATAACTATAACAATAATAATAACAATAACAATAATAGTAATAATAATAATAACTATAATAAAAATAAAAACAATAAAAATAATAACAAAAATAATAGTAACAATTATAACAACAATAACATTAACAATAACAATATTAACAATAATAACAATAACAATAATAATATTAATAAAAGAAATAATTGTTTTAACAATAACAATAACAGGAATAATAATAAAAACAAATATTAATAATCATAATATTAATAATAATAATGATAATAATAATAACAATTAAATAATAATAAAAACAAATATTAATAATCATAATATTAATAATAATAATGATAATAATAATAACAATTAAATAATAATAAAAACAATAACAATAATATTAACAATAACAATAACAATAAGTATATTAAGAATATCAATAATAATAAAAATAAGTATAACAATAATAATAATAATAACAATAACAATAAGAACAACAATAAAAATAACAATAATAACAACAATAACAATAATAATAACAATAACAATAATAATAATAAGAAGAAAAAAAGTAATGACAATAACAAATATTAATAACAATGACAATAATAATAATTATAACAGTATCAATAATGATAACAATAACAATAACAATAATAATAACAATGGCAAAAATAATAATAATAACAATAACAATAATAATGATAATATTAATGACAATAACAAAAGTAATAATAATAATTATAACAAAAACTATAAGGTTGATAACAATAATAAAAAAAATAATAATAACTTTAACAATAACAATATAAATAATAATAATTATATTTGCAACTGTAATAATAACAATAATATTAACAATAATAGTAATAATAATAAGAACTATAACAATAATAATAATAATAACAATAATAATTACAATAACATTAACAATAATAATATCAATAACAAAAATTATAATAATTACAATAACAATAATAATATCAATAACAATAACAGTAATAATATCAATATAAAATAATGACAATACGCATAAGAATATAATAATAATAACAATAAAAAAAAAGTTATAATGACAATAACAATAACAATAATAATAATAATAACAATAAAATAATAATAATAATAACCATAACAATAATAATAAAAATAAATATAAAAATATTAGTAATATTAACAATAATAATAATTATAATAATATAAATAACAACAATAATAATAATATAAATAAAATAATAATAGCAATAACAATTATAATAATAATAACAATAACAATAATAATAATAGAAATAATAATAAAAAAAATAATAATAACAATAACAATATAAATAATAATAAAATATTATTGACAATAATTATAATAATAATAATAATAATAACAATAATAATAATAATTGCATTAACAATTATAATAATAATAACAATAGAAATAATAATAATAATAACAATAGAAATAATAATAATAATAACAATAGAAACAATAATAATAATAACAATAGCAATAACATTTACAATAACAATAAAAATTATAGAAATAATAAAAATAACAATAATAATAATAATAACAATAATAAAAATAGTATTAATGACGATAACAATAATAATAATAAAAACAATAATAATAATAATATCAATAAAAATAATAAAAATAATAACAATAATAATAATAATAATAACAGAACAACAATAATAATAATAACGATAACGATAACGATATTAATAGAAATTACAATAACAATAATAATAACAATAACAAAAATTATAATAATTGCAATAACAATAATAAGAAGAATAACAATAATATTAATAATAACCATAACAATATCAATAATAATAATAATAACAATAACTAATAATAATAACAATTACAATAATAATAACAGTAACAATTATTAATAACAATAACAATATTAATAATATCAATAAGAGTAATAATAACTATGAAAATAACGATAATAATAATAACTATAACAATATTAATAATAATAACAAAAACATAAATAATAACAATAACAATAACAAAAAAAATAATATCAATAACAATAACTATAATAATAATAATAATAATAACAATAACAATAATAATAATAATAACAGTAACAACAATAATAATAACAATAACAATAATAATAACAATAGCAATGCCAATAATAATATCTATAACAGTAATAATAAAAATAACAATAACTATAATAATAACAATAACAATATTAACAATAAAAACGAAAACAAAAATAATTATAGTAATAATAATAATAATAATAACAATATTAATGACAATAACAATAATAATAATAATAATAACAATATTAATGACAATAACAATAATAATAATAATAATAATAATAATATTAATAATATCAATAATAATAACAATAACAATAATAATAATAAAAGCAATAACAATAATAATAACAATAACTTTAACAATCATAAAAATATTACTAATAACAATAAGACTAACAATAACAATATGATAGTAATAACAATATCAATAACAATAATAATAATAATAACAATAAAAATAATAGTAGTAATTACAATGACAATAATAATAACAATAACAAAAATATTAATATTGACAAAAACAATATCAATAATAATAACAATAACAATAATAATAATAACAGCAATAACTATAACAATAATAATAACTATACATATAATAGTAGAAATATCAATAAGAACAAAAGTAATAATAACAATAACTAAAACAATAATAATAATAATAACAATAATACTAATAATATTAATGACAGTAGAAATAATAATGATAATAACAATAATAATACTAATAACAATAACAATAACAATAATAATAACAATATCAATAATAATAATAACATATATTAATAGCAATAACAACAATAATGACAATAACCATAACAATTATGATAACAATAACAATAACAATAATAATAATAACAATAACAAAATTAATAATAATAACAATAACAATAATAATAACAAGAAAAGAAAAATAATAACAATAATAACAATAAAAATAATAATAATAATTACAATAACAATAGTAATAACAATAACAATAACAATCATTAAAATAATACTAATAACAACAAGAATAACAATAACAATACTAATAATAATAACAATAACAATAATTTTTTTGTCATGGTCTGAGTATGCCAAACTTTACGCTCTAACCGAAGGACCCTGCCCCTCAGAGTGACCCTTCACCATTGGTGTCCCCCTTAAAGTCCCTGGAGTGTCGGGCTCACCGTTGAAATAGGCACTAACGACTAAACTCATATCCATCATAGTGGCATAGGAAAACCATCCCGGCACTCCATGTGGCATTACTTCAGGTTGGCGCCACTGCATCTTGTCCATTAACTGAACTCCCTCTTCGGCTCTACGTGGCAGGAACCATGAGCAACGTTGTTGGCTCTTCTATGAGCCACCCATCTCCTTCATCTTCTTGCTTAAGATTGACCTGACGTACCAGGCCACCTTGTTCCACTCCTTCTGCCCATGCAGCATTTCCTCGACGACGTTGTCCGACGAGATGTCTCCAAGGTCTTTGTTCCAAGGCTAGTCGTTCGGCGCTCCACGGAGAACATAAAAAAAATGTGTGGTGGGCGTCGTCGTTGATCGAATCTCCATAGGGGCAGTTGGCGTCTGCTACCTTCCTCATTCTAGCCGGGTAGGATCGGAACAGGCCATGTCAGGAATTCGGTGAGGTAGAAATCAACAACTCCCGCCTCCCGATTTATCCAGGTGTCTAGCTGACTGATGAATCGAGCAGTCCATCTGCCCCTACGTTCCTGCTCCCATCTACTTTGGCATGCCTTGATGATAATAGACCTGGCAAGCCTTGATGCCCTCTCCTTTCCCAGGATACACCTTTGCTGGTAGACGAATTTCCTCTCCTGAGCTAAAAGATCGATCGGGATTACTCCGGCGACAACTAGCACTGCCGGCTCTGAGACCTTTCGGTAAGAGCACGCGATTTGGTGGTCACCCCTCCTCTGAACCGCGGCTATGCGCTTGCGGTATTTCTGTTTTCGCAGCGTCTCGGCCCATACTTCCGCACCGTACAGCATCACTACTTCGGCGGCACGCATCAGTAGTCTCCTCATGCACGGCCGGGGGCCATTGACATTGGCCATGAGCATGCCCAGTGAGGCTACTACTTTCGCCGCCTTGTCGGCTGCCCTGTTAATATGCTCTCCGTAGTTAAGCTTGTTGTTAAGCATGACACCGAAATATTTGACAGCCGAATTAGTCTGGACCGCCGCGTTTCCTACAATGAAGCTGCGCAAGGTGTTGATGCGCGTCCACGTAATTAGCACGCGTTCTGTCTTTTGGGCTGCTAGAAATAGCCCGTGGTCTTCCATCCAAGAGGGAACTCTCCGCATGACCTGTTTGAGCAGCAACTGTGCCCCCTCCGTGTCTCTTGCGGTTATGACAATTGCAATGTCATCTGCGTAACCAACCAAGAAAGTACCTTCTGGGACTGCCATACGAAAGATACCGTCGTAGAATATATTGCATATATCCGGTACCAGTATGGAGCCATGGGCTGCCCCCGATGTCGATTCCAAACTTCTTGGTCCATCACTCGTGTTGTATACTAGGCAGCGCTCGTTTAGATAATCGTCAATAATTCGGAGTGGGTACTTCGGAACGCCGAAATTACGTTCGAGCGCTTCCCTTGCAAGGTCCCACCTGACGGAGTTGAAGGCATTTCTCACGTCTAAGGTGGCCAGCAGGCACAAAGATCGAGTTCGATGATTGCCTCGCTCCATCATTTTAGCGGCTGTGACCACCTCCTGGACTGCGTGGATGGTGGAGAGGCCGGATCGAAATACTGGCGGGCGGCCAGATCCCCCGCTGCCTTCACTGCAGCGTTCAGCCTTGGCCTTAGCAGCTTCTCCAGGAGTTTTGCAGCCGTATCGAGCATACAAATATGCCTGTATCATGAAGCTGCCCCTACTGGACCCTTGCCCTTGCTAATGAGAACAAGCCACGCTTTCTTCCATGGAGTGGGGAAGATGCCCCCCCTGAGACACGAGTTATACATGTTCAGCAAGAGCTCAGGGTGACTTTGCGCGACGAATTTGATTATTTCTGCTGGAAGTCCGTCTGGACCTGGAGCTTTCTTGTTCCGCATAGAAGATGCGGCCCTGAGTAGCTCTTCTTCCGTGAATTGGGGTACCTAGATTATACCGGGCGCATCCAAGCTGATCACTCTCTTCGGCTGTGAGGGGAATAGAGTTCGCACGATATGATCCAACGTCCTCGCGTACAGAGGGGTCACTTGCGTGTTAGTCCCCAGCTTGCGAGTGACGATGAGGTAGCCTAATCCCCACGGATTCTGGTCGACATCAATGCACAGCTCCTTCCAGCACCGTCGTTGACTGGCCTTGATGGTCCTCTTCAGGGCTTTCTTGGCCGCTTGATAGTCTGCAGCCAAAGGAGCAGCGTCGTGGTCGCGTCTCTTCGCTCGTTGTGCTAAACGGCGTAGCCTTAAGCACTTCTTACGAAGATCTGCGATCTCGTTCATCCACCAGTATGTAGGACGCCTGTGCCGTTTCGTGCACTTCTTGGTCATCGCTATGGCGCAAGCTTTTTGAATGAGCTGCATAGTTGCTGCAGTAATCATCCTGGCTTGTGCAATTGGCGATAGACTCGCGAATGCAATTTGAAGGGATCTCCAACCTCCATCTATGACTGAAGACAGCCTCTCTCGATCCATTCTTGCAATGTTCCACCGGGGGAGTCGCTCTACCCTTATCGCGGCTGGCCTCCTATCGTGTACATCGAATAGGATGAACTGATGATCGTTCCCAGTATAATCCTCGATCACCTGCCAGTCTGCGACTCTTGCCACAAGATGTTCGTTGGCTAGAGATACGTCCGGTATCGTCTCTCTGTAGCCAGGCCTGCGGAAGGTCGACGTCGAACCTTGTTGAGTTGAGTACTGATAGCTCCAGTCTCGTCGCCTTCTCCTTGATTCGTCTTCCTCTGGAGTCCGTCCTGGCATACTCCATTCGAGAGCTTTGGCATTGAGGTCTCCAGCCACAATGAGATCCCCTTGCATTTCCCGCAGCGCTTCTTTCAGATCATCCAGTTTGATCTTTAAGTCGTCTATCCGGTCGTTCGGAGTGAGATATACACTTACATAAGTCGTCGAGTTATGTCTCGTAACCTAAAACGTAACCTAAACGTAACCGCGTCCGGATCCTTGGTCCGACAAATGTATCTGTCGGGGATCTGGAATCCAGATGGCCGCGGTGCCCAATTCGTCTGCGTACCATCCTACTCCTGCTCTGTCCTAGTACTGTTCGCTGATTATAACAATATCAGCTTTTTTCTCAGAGCTGAGCGGGGCTAGAAGGTGATGCGCCGTCCTGCTCCTATTCAGATTACCCTGAAGTACTCTCATCCTTTTTTCTACTTCTTTGCTGTTACAAGGTCCTCCTGGAAAGCTTCGCAGGCCCTTGATCCCGTCAAGTGCTTCCTATTTTCAACACCACTCTTTGAGCACACCAAGCAAGTAGGCTCGCTGACCTTGCAATGTTTGATCTTGTGCCCCGTGCTCCAGCAGAAATACCACGATTTACTGCGATCAGGTCCATTGCACGAAGCACTATAGTGACCATAGTGGAGGCAGCGGAAGCATCGCCTCACTTCTGCCCTTCGCCTGACCCTGCATCTGATGAAACCGATCAGCACTCGGCTGGCCTTTAAAAGCTTCGCAGCTGCTTCCTCTTCTATTTTGACGGGGGCCAGACGTTGTTGTCGTTGTTGGGGTTCGTCATCTTAATTTCGATTTTCCCCGCGTAGCCTGGTAGGGTCCTCTTTAGAGTCTCCTCGACTTCTACCAACGATGTGCAGCAGTCACAGTCCCGTATCTCCAGCGTAGCTCTAGGGACCAGTTCCGTGATGCTGCTCGTTTCTCCTACTTCTTTTCTCAGAGTTTCTGCGAATGAGGCCATGATATCCATAGTGGTCTTCTTTAGTTCAAGGAGAACCCCTCCGGTTCTGATCTGCCGGACCGATTTAACGTCTACCCCTACGACTCTGGTCTTGATGCGCTGGTGGATAGTTCCGACCACGTCTGCGTAAGATTTGCCTTGCGCAGGTTTCAGGAGCATCCGGCTTCGATCTCTTTCTCGGCCTGACCTCCGATTTGCTCGACTTCTTTTTCTCCTGCTGTAGGTGTTTCGTCGCATTTTTCGCTGGTTTTTCCTTATTTCTTTCTTCCTGATGACCTCCGTCCACTTAAGTGGCTTCGGTCGTCGTCGACTCTTGCCTCGGTCTTTTACGGCTTCCATTGTGTAACTGAGGCGGGATGTGGCTACTCTTTTAACCGCATCAGCATCTGTTATAGAGTTTGACCTAAGGCTCTGAGAAAATCGGGCGAGTGTCCTCGCTCCCATATTGACTTTTTTTCAAGATTTATACATAAACTCGGGACTGTCAATAATGTCCTCAAGTTCTGGGAGCCCTTGCTTAATAGCATTGTTCACGTTAGGCTGACTAGTAATAGCTGACATCATTTTGGCAAGGAGGGATTTCGATTGCGCGAATTTCTCACTATCTCCATCTTGGGTTGTCCCATTCGCAGGGTGGATAGGTGCGGTAATGCCGGAAAGATGAAAGCCCTCAAAGACTCTGTCAGCCTTCTGCCACACCTCTAAGTGGCCTTCGACATATTTTACCCTTCCTGGCACTTTAGTCATACCGCAGGCCAGGTCGCCTACCTATGGTGCTCTTCCTGATGCATTATCCAGAGCTGGGGACAGGTTCCCTACTCCAAACTCCTGGCAGTTGCTGGATGACGACGGCGGGTGTCCTGCACTACCACCACAAGACACCGCCGTGGCGTGGGTGTCCTTCCCTCGCCCACTATTTTCTTTCGCTGTACTATCCATCATGAGTAATGTACTTCTGAGAGGCAAGCTCACCAATAAAAAGGAAGGAGCGTAAAGAACATAGAGTGAAAGAGAAAGAATAGAAAAAGATATGATAAGAGGAAAAAGGAAGGGAATGCGATTCAAGAACATTCACAAGCCATTCACACAGTCCTTCTTAGTCGCCACTTACGACATGTAGGGAGTACTGTGGGAGTATACTACTTCCCTCTACTCACTGAGGAGAATACCAATAACAATAATAATAACAACAACAATAATAATAACAATAATAAATACAATTACAATAACAATTATAATAACAATGAGAATAACAATAACATTAATATTAACAATAAAAACAACAACATTAATAAAAATAATAACAACAAAATAATAATAATAACAACAATAACAATAATAGTAACAATAAAAACAACAATAATAATAATGACAATATCAATAATAATAAAAATACAAATAGGAATAATAATAACAATAACAATAACAATCATAATAATAATAAAAATAACAATAATAATAACGATAGCAATAATAATAATAGTAATAATAAGAAAAACATTAATAATAATAACAACAAGAACTATAACAATAATAATAACAATAACAATAATAATAATAACAAAAATAATATTAACAACAATAGCAACAATAATAATAATAAGAATAACAATAATAATAATAACAATAGAAATAGAAATGACAATAACAATAACAATAATAATAACGATACCAATGATATAAATTAGAGCAATAACAATAATAACAACAATAACAATAACAATAATAATAATAATACCAGTATCAATAATAATAACAATAACAATAATTAAAGAAAAAACAATAAGAGCATCAATAATAATAACAATAACAACGACGATATTAATAAAAATAATAATAACAAAAATATTCATAATAACAATAACAACAATAATAATATTAATAATATTAATAACAATAATAATAACAATAACAATAACAAAAAAAATAATAATAACAGTAATTAGAATAACAAAAATAACAATGATAACAATAACAATAATGATAATAACAATAACGATAATAATAACAATAACAATAACAATAATTATAATAATATTATTAAGAATATTAATAACAATAAAATTAACAGTAATAAAAATAACAACCTCAATAATAATAATAACAACAATAACAATAATAATAATAATCTTAATAATAGAAATAATAACAATAGCAATTACAATAATAATAATAACAATCTCAATAATAATAATAATAACAATGGCAATAATAATAACAATAACAGTAATAATAATAATAACAATAATAGCAATAACAACAATATTAACAATAACAGTAATAATAAGAACAACAATAACAATAACAATAATAATAACAATAACAGTAACAATAGTAATAATATTAATGACAACAACTAAAATAATAATAATAATTATAATAATAATAAATGCTATAACAATAATAATAATAATAACAATATCATTAATAATAATAATAACAATAATAATAATAATAACATTAACAATAATAATATTAATAATAATATTACTTACAATAATAATAACAGTAACAATAATAATAATAATAGTAACAATCTCAATAATAATAATAACGTCAATAACAATTTTAATTACAATAACAATAACAACAATGATATAATAACAATAAAAGCAATAATAACAATAAAAACAATAATATTAATACCAATAACAATAATAATAACAATACCATTAACAATTAAAATAACAATAACAATAGTAATAATAACAATACCAATAACAATTATAATAAAAATATCAATAATGATAATAACAATAACAATAATAATTACAATAACAATAATAATAATAATAAAAACAATAATAATAACAATAACAACGATAATAATAATATTAATAGTAATAATAGTAACAAAAACAATAATAAAAAAAATAAAGTAAAAATAATAATAACATTAACACCAATAATAATAATAGTAACAATATCAATAGTAACAATAATAACAATGACACTAAGAATAACAATAACGATAATAATAA